TCTGCAAAAATGTGGAAATGGAGCCTCTGACATAAAACTGATTCTTTAGACAGTAATAGTAAAAATTATGTAAGTACTTTTACTTTAGTGTTTACTGGTGTAGTGGAGGTTACATCACTACAATCACAGACAATTAGAAATTATATTCCACAGCTTTCATCTGATGATGATATGACTCATTATGGATTTACTGATCAATTTACAAAACTCACTGAAAGCAACAATAATGTTACTTTTTCATAAACTAAACAGGAAGTATGAAATTGAATGTGTTTGTATGTAACAGGATCGATGCAGCTGAGCTTTAGTTTTAGCTGTTTGAGTCTTTTCACTGATGGATGTAGACCGCAGAAAGAAAATAGTTACGTGAAAAACATGTAACAAGGGTTGTAATGGGGTCCTGCTTTTTTGAAAGTGTCTTTTAAATGTGTTGCTGGAGTCTTAACCATGAATGCCATTTGGTTCCATCAGATTCAAGACAACGCAAACATCCTCTCCGCTGAAATCTCCAAACCAGAGAAACCCAAACTTAAATAGTGCAGATGATTTGGAGATGGACTGTCCTTAAACACAGCTGACGGTCGTATTATGACATTTATGAGTTTGACCTTTTACCCTCTTAAATATCAGCTTTAAAAATGACACGTGGATAAATCCAGAGGTTCATTTTTGCTGCCTGAGCTCGAAAAGAACTTTAAAGAAACAGTTTGTGTTTCATCTCTCGTGGTAAAGTCACCTTCACGCCAACATCAACAATATCTCTGCTCTCTGACTGCCTTGTTACAAGTAGCTGAGTAAACTGCACGGTTGATTTACTCTCCAGTATGTGGCATCAAACTGCTCCTCACAAGCATCTAGCTGCCCTTCTAAATGTGATTTTGTATTTAAAGCACATTTTCTTTAAAATTAGGAAGCCCATTCAAATACATTATACTGTCATGCTGCAGTTGCACAATATAATGTGCTGTTCATAAAACTGATATCACAGTGGACAGTTAAGATACTGTAGTGAATATATTTCCAAGAGTGGTTGGCGAGCAGACCATCTAAGTTTGTTTACTGTGCTAATGGAAGGAAACAGGAGCTCAAAGTAAGACTCACACTGTTAGCAGCCTCGCAGCCACAGCGAGCGGCAGCCGTCACCACCAACTCGTCAATGAAATGTTTAACGAGAAAATATTGGCTCTGAGCTGAAAGATTCTCTTTGTGGATAATTATAGAACATATGCTGCTCTGTGACCCGGGCTGAGGCAGAGCTGTGATACGTGTGTGTCTGCAGCGCACACGCTGAGCGGCGGCAGGATCCAGTGGATTGTTGTTTAGTGGGGGAGACAGGAAAAGGGGAGGTGGGGGGCTGGTTGCTGCCCTGTGGGTACAGAAAGCTGTACTACACACACACACACACACACACACACACACACACACACACACACACACACACACACACACACACACACACACACACACGCCTTCCCTAGCAAGGTTATTATTGGTAACGAAAACTAACGAAATAATGAAACTTGAAGTGAAAAAACATTTTCGTTAATGGAAATAAAAATAAAAACGAGACTTTGCCAAAAAAGGAAAACTAACTAAAACTGTAATGAGTGCTCACAAAACTAAAATTAACTGAATTTATAGCAAAAATGTGTTTAGTTTTCACTGATGTGTGCGTGTCATACAATAGTCTAGCGTGAAAATGAGGTGGTTTCCAGGTTTTTTTCTTGCTGTGTCTCACTATGCCAGCAGGTGGCAGTATGTTAGTCGAATCGTCTGTGTTGCTGCTTCGTCCACGCGCAAAATCGTGTCAGCAAAAGTCGGGAGAAAGTGCCAGAGTCTAATTTGGGATTGCTTTGATTGGTAATCTAGCTTACCTTGAAGGTCAGGGAGCACGCCCAACCCTCATCCCCAGAAACAGAAGCTAACTCCAGGCAAGGCAGCGTGATGCATCCCGAGACAACTCCACAAAAAACATTAATGCAGTGCTTCAATCGGCGACCTGATGGCTACTGGTTGGTCAGTTCGCAGGAACATCACAAGCGAGACGAAGCGTTGGCGAATATGTTTATTGAGACTGAGATATACATGCAGCTTGTGGGGATAGGTTAATTGGATAATCCAAATTGCCACTAGGTGTGAATGTGCGAGTGAATGTGAGTGTGAATGGTTGTCTGTCCCTGTGTGTCGGCCCTGCGACAGACTGGCGACCTGTCCAGGGTGTACCCCGCCTCTCGCCCTATGACAGCTGGGATAGGCTCCAGCGCCCCCCGCGACCCTGAAAAGGATAATGGATGGATGGAGACCGGGATATCTACACAACTGTGTGAGTCAATTGTCTTCAAAAAGTTTAGTAATTCACTTGAACCAAAATTAGGAACACCTGGTTCTGCAAGAGTTCATAGCCTCATTGGGGCCAAGATATATCTTTTTATAGGTACCTGTACCAAAGGTTGTTCATCTGCCCTCATTTCCTTTTTCCTTTTCTTTTTAAAGAACCCATTGGTTCCCCATAGGTGGGAATGTGAGTTGTCTGTCTCTGCGTGTTAGCCCTGCGACAGACTGGCAACCTGTCCAGGGTGCAGGGTATGGTAGCTGGAATAGCAACATACCCAAGGATGAGCAGAAGAGAATGACTGATATGATGAAACTGGGATTTTGTTACACTTAATTATTGCAAATATGACTAAAACTATAACTGAAACTAATCAAAACTAAACTGAACACACTTACAGACCCTGAAATCAGTTCATACCTTAAAAAATCTTTAAACTCTGGTGCTTCAGTGGAACCTAAAGTGGGCAGGTGTGCACTGTTACAGTGTTACATGCTTCAATCGCACATGAGCCAAAGTTCAGGCTTCAGACTCCTGGAAACACAAAGTTTCTGACAGTTTGTTCTACTCTTGGATCTGTATGATGTCACACGAAGCAGTTATCTCTAATATAGTCACATGACGTGGCGTTACTTCTTGTTCAGGAGAAAACTGCAGCGGTGACCTGTGAGGTCGGGGTGAGCACAAAAACAAGCGGCTGTGCGGTGACATTACTGGTGGGAGGTGAAGCGACCAGTGCAGCGGGTGCACTGGGGCCTTTAAAGGGAGAGAAACTGGGGCCACCCAGGCCTACTATAAGCTAATAAAGTATGAAATGTGGAGGTGGAAAATATCATGATAGGTCCCCTTACATAAAAACCATAAAAAACACATTTTCTTGAAACATTTTCCTACATGAACTCAGTCACGTCACAGCAGAGGCCTCGCTATGTGACATGAGTAGTGCACATTTGTCACGCTCACTAAAATTACTACCAGGGCCCTGATTAGGATTTCACCGTGTCAGGATCTGGATCTAATATTGTGTAAGTGGGAACAATCTGACTGTAGTCTGATACACCCTGAACTTCAATAACAAACACCTTCATTTTATTCACACACTTGTAACAATGGACTGAATATTTTTCAGTAATTAGAAAAATAACATTGCTTTTGATAATCTTTGTTTGAAGGTAGAAGGAATCGAGATCTGTGTAATACGAGGGGCTGAAGCTATGATGATTGATGCGCTCTGCACAGGTCAGTGACAAAATGATAAAGACATAACCACCAGCTAACCTTGAAAACATAAAAGCAAGAAAAATGTGCTCCAAGTGTTTGGCTGAACTTTCGCGGCAGAGACGCTCGTGAAAATATGTGGACGAGAGTGAAAGAGACGAGAGAAAGTGGGCGAGGAGACGGAGGGAAAGGCAACGAGACAAACAGAGACACAAACTGAAAAAAGAGCCTTTGTGCTCGGCTACGTCTGTTGACTCATTACTCTGATCTGAGCCAGTGATGACCGCAGTCTCTGGCAGCCAGTCAGACAGCGATAAACCCCCGAAGGACCCCTCTCTGTGGGCCTAAATGAAAGAGAGGTGGCTTTCATGCTGCCTGTTGAATTGACCCAGTGCCTCAAACATAAACACGTCCCAAACTTTATCATTATCCCCCTGCTGCTGCTGCTGCTGCTGCTGCTCGCCTGCAGACACATTAGGGTCTCTGTGTCTGCCTGCAGCCTTGTATTAGCAGGTACTGCTGTGCACCTCATCCAGGTGTGTTACGCTGAGTGCTTTATGAAGGGGCAGGACTGGAATGTTTCACTGCCATTGTCATCATTAACACTTTACAGATCACTCTGATGAGCTTCAAGAGATTAAACATTTTTCAGTTGTGTGAGTGGAGAATATGTTCCAAAATATAAGGTATAAGACAGTTACTGTATTCTTAATGAAAACACTGAAGATGCCAATGATTTTTTTTGTTGCTTCTGCTTCCATTTAAAGCTCCATCCAAGTACGCATCATGGCAGTGGTTCAGAAATAATCTCTCTCATCATTAGAACCCCTGAAAGCACATTCCTGTTGTGTATGTATTCAGTAATAGTGTAATAAAATCCAGAACGTATCTACATGACCAACAGCTGCTAATACAAGTAACATGGTGAGCCACACAGCTGGAGGTGGTTTTTAATTTAGACATCCATTCACAATTAAATTCACATCATTCAAAAATCTGTCACAGTCGTCGTCATACAGATGTGTCAGGCCTGAATCGTAGGTTTGGTATTAATGAGGACAAAGCTCAAAGGACAAAGCACCTCAGTTGCTCTCAAGAATGATTAAGTGTGTCTGATGTGGTCTAGGAATGTCTTCCAGAGGTAATTTCTAATTTGTGTGTGTTTAGGCACACATATTAGACACAAATAACTTTGAAGGATTAGATAAGAATCGAGGTATGTGCTGTGGTCTGTGTGCTCGGTGCTGGTTGATGAGGCTCGTGCCTGTTCGAGGATCGTCAGCATGGGAAAGAAGGAAAGAGGGATCTCCTGTGTCCAAGTTTGATGTCTTGCAGACTAATCTGTCCATCCTAACCTCTTCCATCTGCAGACATTAAAGCTTTATGACAGCATTGCAGTATGTGACCGAGTCTCAAAGCGGGCACTATCTTGCTCGTCTTTTCTTCACAGTTTGATCCTGTTCCAATTTATCTGAGCCCAGCTGCGAGCGACCCGTCTGCTAGATCGATATCATTTGGATGAAGATGAGACAACTGAGCGCATTCATCCTGTTGACCCTGGCTGTCCTCGCAACAGCCAGACCAAAAACAGGTCAGTGTGCAGATACTGTGAGAATTACTGAAAAATTCTTTTAAAAAATAAATAAAGATTTTTCTCTTCCTAAACAGGTTATATAAATGAGGGCATAATTTAATTTTAAGAAAACAAATGAAAGAAAAGGAAGTCGGGAAAAATGAGAGATAAATGTTTAATGATGGGCATTTAGATGATCAAAAGAACAGGGAGCTAAAGTGGGTTTGGATCACAATAGAAACACAGAGTCACGGCACAAAGACAAACCAAAGCCTAAATAAGAAAGCTATGATTTTAAATCAGATGCTTTCAGTGGATTGCAGAGAGTCTATAACTGTAAACAATGGTTTAAACAACCATTTGACAGAACAATTACACCTTTACCAGAGCCAGATGTTTTTCACTTTAAGGGTAGCTTTGCATGAACAGTTCAAAATAATCCTTGGTGGTGTCCTTGTTGAACTTTTGGCTCACAGGGACGTACCCATTTAAAGTCTTTGTTGTTTAAGCTTTCAACATGTTTGATATTAAATGTAAATGTGTCCTCTAAAAGGAGGAAAACATTATAATTTAAATTTAAAATGTCTAATATAAAGTGTTTGTGATGACTGAGATCATGTTAGCTAACTATGAACACACAGTGACATGCGTGTGGCTCTATTGAGTTCAAAACTGTTTTTATCTTTAACTTTGGAGTCACGGTTTAATTTAATTGACCAAATTAGGACTAAGAAATGGCAAAGACCCAAATTTAGATAGAAAATGTAAAAAGAAGGGTTGAGGACTTTTTTAGAAAAGTTATAACCTGTAAATGTTGCCACCGCAGGTCACTGAATAGGACTCTTTATACAAGCGTGTGAATTATGACTTCTGTGAAAGGCACGAATGTTTCAGGACATATCCCTGACACATATACATTACATCTGCGGCTGACTTGATTTATGTGACCAGACAATGCAGTGGACGTGTTTATAAGGCGTTAAAAATTGGCTACTGTTGACGTCTATTTGAACCTAAAGATGGATTCCATCGGTCCCACACGTCTGCTTATTCTGACACTGAGTCTCGTCTGTTGTGACTTTCACTTTGTCTGAAGAAATTCTGGATGGACATTAATCAAACAGTTTCTTTCCAACTCGTAAAGCCACACCACAAACACAAGCCAACCTCATACTTCATTCATGACGGCAGCGTTTTTGAACCTAGATGATGTTACAACATGGGAGCGCGTCCGAAAAATATAAAGACAAAAACAGGTGTCCTGTGGCGGCTGACGCCACTGAGAAGCAGCGCTCAGGTGGTAAATAATGTGAACGCTGTACCGATGTTTGAGGAAGGCTGCTGCTGTCGTGCTTCAGAGAGAGAGTAAAATCCACACAATTTAAAAAGAAAGTCGAGTAAGAGAGAAGCAGCCTTTTATCCTACTGATCAGTCACAACAGTAAAATTGTTTAGGTTTTCCTCAGAACACCAAAACAGCTCTGATCCTTTCACACGACACACAACACCTTCTCGGGGCCTGTGAGTCTCCTCCATCATTCAGAGGCCATGTCTGTGTTTCATGTGTTGAAATCACACTTTGCTTCTCCGGCTCCTGAAAGTGAAACAGTCCACTGCGTCCCACTGAAATTCATTAAACACAGATTACAAAAATATTTTAAAAAAGGCTCAGCAGCTTCCTGAGCTGGACACTGCGGTGAACATCACTCAAACAGGAACGAAGCATTTGTTGGGGAATAATTTGTGTAACGACACAATAAAAATCCCATGTTTCATGTTTTATGGGATCTCACCAAATTTAAATTTGGAGCTTTGAGGTCGGAGGATTGCTGACTTCTTCTTGAATTTTTTTCACCATTGTTGAAACATCTAGTTTGAACAGATTCTGCTTTTCTTCTTTCTTCCAGAACCTGCGCAGAAATGTAAGACTGGTCCGGTGGATCTAGTCTTCCTCATCGACAGCTCCCGCAGCGTTAGGCCACATGAGTTTGAGACCATGAGGAAGTTTATGATTGACATCATTAACACCCTGGATATTGGACTAAATGCCACCAGAGTGGGAGTTGTTCAGTATTCCAGTCAGGTAGAGTAACCAGACAGGACCCAGACCTCCTTTCATGTTGTAGTCCTTCATCTCTGTCAGTGCGCCCCAGGGTGGCTACAATGTAGCTGCCATCCCCAGTGTGTGAATGTGTGTGTGAATGGGTGCATGACTGAACGTGTAAAGCGCTTTGGGGTCCTTAGGGACTAAATAAAGTGCTATACAAATACAGGCCATTTACCATCTTGACAGCTAACCCTTCTCATCACTAACTGGTCTTAAGATGATGTTTTAATCTTTGAATTCTTCACTGCTTTCAGGTCCGCACTGAGTTCACTCTGAAGACTCACGCCAGGCTGAGCAACATAGTGAAAGCATCAATCAGATCATCCCCCTCGCTCAGGGTACCATGACCGGACTCGCCATCAGATACATGATGAATGAAGCTTTTACTCCAGAGGCTGGAGACAGGCCAAAGGTACTTATTGGATGTCTTATACACAATGAACCATTTTGTAACCGTTTCCTTTAGTTGTGCTGGTGGTTTCAGGCATTTTCATTTTAAATCTTTACTTTTCTTTTTAATTATCTGTATTTAAATCATCACAGAAATAAATATCATCACCTATCTTGTAGAAGCTTGTTATAGCAGAACTTTGAGTGGAACTATGGATACATACAGACATTCCTGTCAGGGTCATGGGGGCAGCAGTCTAAGTCTAAACCTCATCCAGGTCCTCTGGGGGGGACACCAAAGCATTCCCAAGTCAGCCAAGAGATATAATCTCTCCATTGTGTCCTAGGCCTCCTAGGAGGACATGCCAAGGACACAAAAGGCATAAAGGAATTTAAAAAAAAGTGTAGATGAAATGCTGGAGGCTTTGTGAGGGTCTAGTGCAGTGTGGATTGGACAGCAGTCAAGAGCTGAGGCCCTGGCTGGCCAAACTCTACCTGATGAAGCTGGGATAATAAAAAAAATTCCATCCATCCATCCATCTTCATCCGCTTTATCCGAGGCCGGGTCGCGGGCGCAGCAGCCTAAGCAGAGAGGCCCAGACCTCCCTCTCCCCAGCCACCTCCTCCAGCTTATCCGGGGGAATACCAAGGCGTTCCCAGGCCAGCCGAGAGATATAATCTCTCCAGCGTGTCCTGGGTCTGCCCCGGGGCCTCCTCCCGGTGGGACATGCCCGGAACACCTCACCCAGGAGGCGCCCAGGGGGCATCCTTGTCAGATGCCCGAACCACCTCAGCTGGCTCCTTTCGATGTGGAGCAGCAGCGGCTCTACTCTGAGCACCTCCCAGATGGCCGAACCTCTCACCCTATCTCTAAGGGAGAGGCCAGCCACCCTTCGTACGAAGCTCATTTCTGCCGCTTGTATCCGCGATCTCGTTCTTTCGGTCACTACCCACAGCTCGTGGCCATAGGTGAGGGTAGGGACGTAGCTCGACCGGTAAATTGAGAGCTTCGCTTTTACACTCAGCTCCCTCTTCACCACGACGGACCGGTGCAGCGTCCGCATTACTGCAGCTGCAGCCCCAATCCGTCTGTCGATCTAATAAAAAAATTAAAACAATAAAATGTTTCTGAATTTATGGGCTAAGAAAACAAAGATGGAGGGGACGTCAATAACAGCTGTCTCTGGTTGGTTCTGCCGATGGCTTCAGGTTCCAAACGTGGCCGTGATCGTGACAGACGGACGTCCTCAGGACCGCGTGGCTGAGGTGGCCGCTGAGGCGAGAGAAAAAGGCATTGAGATCTATGCTGTGGGCGTGGCCAGGGCAGATATGACATCACTGAGGGCCATGGCGTCACCGCCCTTTGAGGACCACGTCTTCCTGGTTGAGTCCTTTGATCTCATTCACCAGTTTGGCATCCAGTTCCAGGATAAGCTCTGCGGTAAGACTGCAGGACAGGAAATACAAAGTATACAAGTAACTGCTATTACTATATGTGGTGCTTTTTATTTGTCTTATTATTTCTAACACTTGTGTTATATTCTGTAGTATATTTAGATGTTACCACTTATGTAGCATACTATGTTTTTATTTCCAAACAAAATGTTATTGTACCTGAGAAGAATGACAACTATGAGTTCATTTTAAAAACAAATTCAGCTTTTAATCAGCAAAAAAAAACCATTTACCCTGAGCTGGAGTCAGTCAGGATGAGTTGTGTAACTAGTAAGTTTTAAGATTCGTGTGAGTGCAAAATCTTACTGGAATGTAAAAACTTTCCACTCTTTAAGGATTTGGAAGTTGTGTTTCTCTAAAATCTCCATCTAAAAGATTTTGTATTACTGGATCACTTTTATTTAAAGTCATCTTAATGTAAGAGCAGCAAAAATCTTCAGATAAAACTGTGCGATTAAAATTTCATGACATTGGCTTCATCTGGGCCAACATAGATTTTTTTATGTAATTAAAAACACAACGTCTAGCTCGAGTTAAAAAAAATTACAAAATCCTTCTGACCGCACATAACCTAATACTTTTTCATAACAACCTCTGCAAATCCCTTAAGTGCTCGATATTTCCTCATGCTGCTATTATTCAACACTGGACTACAGCTAAAAAAACAGTCTGGTCTCCTGCAGTGGGAGATGCAAAATGCAGACGGATAAAATAAATACAAAAAGTAAATCAGTGAAATAAAATAAGCTCTCAGTGAAAATGAAGAGTCCTGTAGCTAAGAGGTGACAGCAGGGCTAAAACCACTAATCCCATCATGCTTTGCAGATGAAGCTGTAGAGATTGTGTCGTGACTGCAGACGAGTCCTGGTGAAGATGTTTTCTCATGAAGTGTTTTTCTTTGATTAGTGTTGGTTCTCAGTGCTTTTCATTTCACAGTTTTCCTTCAGGGGCACCGATAATTCCTTTCTACAGAAAAAACACAAAGTCGTTGGGAATATGATTTTGATTTTGTGATAATAAGCTGTAAGTTAAATATATTGAAGCTGGTTTTCTGAATGCTGATCTGACACAGGCGTGGATCTGTGTCTGGAGTCAGACCACGGCTGTGAGCACATCTGTGAGAGCACTCCTGGATCCTACCACTGCCTCTGTCTGCCCGGATACACTGTGAACGATGACGGGAAGACATGCGCAGGTAATTTGCAGTTTGCTCCCACTATACTAAAATATATACAGCTACCAGCAAAATCAAAAGGACAACTGTCTTTCCCTTTTGAACTCTGTATTTTTATTTTTGTCTTCTAGTGGAGGAGATTAGCATGATCTACAGCTGTCTGAAACTATCTGTTTTAGCTCTTTATTCTTAAAGGCTAATATAAGCCGACAATACAATAAAAAATAACTCTTTTATTGGGTGAATGTCAAAATCTGAGAACAAAGTTCACAAAAGTTTCAGGGAAACACAAAGAGACATTCAGGCCCCACAGAGTGAGTAATGATGGGAAACAGGAGGGAGAGGAACACAGGTTAATAATCAAAAACTAAAATCAACAGAATAACACCAAAACAACGAAACACACTCACAAGAAAATTAGCAAGAAACAAAAACGCAGCACCAGGTCTGGGACCATGTCAGCTTTTTTCTGATTGGTTAAGCAGCAGAAGGCGGGTCCTCTGTGCTCGCAACAATGCTGTCCTCTCAGCACCCAGACGTTATATTGTTACTTCGTTAGAGTTATTTGATATTATATTTTGCACTACCCTACTGTATATTACTATGTACTAGTATTCTTATTGTATATCTTATTCCTCTGTCTCTCTTGCAGCACTGAGCATGTGTATGACAAAAGAATTTCCCTCAGGATAAACAAAGTTCTTCTTAAATTATTTTCGCTTATCTTAAAAAGTAGAAAAAAAACTGCCTGAAACAGAGAATTTTCAGGAAGTTTTTTTGACTTACAGGGGAAACTTGAAAATATGAAGCTTTGTCCTTTAGCACATGTGTGACAAGAAAACAGAATAAAAGAAAAGAAAAAGTCAGTTTTAGAACCAGAAAACCAAACAAACACTGGAGAGTGTCAGCCGGAACCTGATACGCCAATTTGCGAACATTTTCTTTGATGTCTCGAGTGCGCTTGAGTACTTAATAAGTAATATCATTCGTGTGTGTGTGTGTGTGTGTGTGTGTGTGTGCGTGCGTGTGTGCGCGCGTGCGTGCGTGCGTGTGTGCGTGCGTGTGTGCGTGCGTGCGTGCGTGCGCGTGCGTGCGTGCGTGTGTGTGTGTGTGTGTGTGTGTGTGTGTGTGTGTGTGTGTGTGTGTGTGTGTGTGTGTGTGTTTAGCCATAGATCTGTGCGCTGAGAGAAAACATAACTGTGAACAACTCTGCGTCAGCTCGCCGGGCTCCTTCACCTGTGACTGCAACAAAGGATACAAACTGAACAATGACAAGAGGACCTGCTCAAGTTAGTCTCACACACACAATGTACATGCAGATTCACACATCTCATATCGTTCACCTTTATGCTTTGCTTTTAAATGTGTTCTGCTGCCATTGATTCTGCTGCTTGGTGAGTGAGGGTTTGCATTTTGTTCCTCCGTCTCCAGTTTGTACAATTGAATCTTTTTGTAGATCTGCTTTGAAACTTTCCTCACACTGCAGGAAGTAACATACGCACATGTACACACACCTTAACTGCACACAGTCAGCACACACGAGGCTGATTTATGAGAAACATATAAATGAAAATCTCTAAAGCACAAGTTAGAAAGCATAAATTCTGAAACAGTACAGTATGTTTACACTAGATCCTTAATTTCAATGCATTCTAGTCATGCTGTGTTTCATAAGCCAGCACATCGAGTCCCACACTCCTAGTTAGCATGAGGCTGATGTTTAAGCTAGTTTATGGAAATTGGAACATCTGGTACGATGTGTTTCTTCTGAAAACCTTTGACAGTCGTCGTTGTTTATCTAACATACACAGACTCAATCTGCTGATTTTCTCGCCTCAAATGTTTCAGAAGACATTTCACTGGACTGTTCATCTAAGTATGAGAAACTTTGCGAGTGAGCCAGCACGTCAGTTGTGGTTTGAAATTCTGGGACAGAAAGCGAGCAGGAGCTTTTCAGCTAATCACTTACAGCTCAGTGTTTGCATGCTTGTGGCATGCACTAAGAGATGGAGAGCACCTGTCAGTCACCGATAGCATCACTGCCTCACGGCTCACCTGTCAACAGTATGAATCCTTGCAGTACCAAACCCATGTGGAGATATACAGTTAGAAATGATCATTTCATTGTATTTGTATATCAGCTTATTGCAGTAAGAGTCATTCACAAATGAGGTTCATATTTGGGACAGAGCAAAGCAGGTAAAAGCCGAGACTTACTGAGAGACAAGGGGAACATAAATGCAACCCACACATTTGGCTGCTGTCCTCTCTGCTGCTCATGGCCTCGCTGCTTTCCTCCCCTCAGTGATCGACTACTGTTCGTTTGGGAACCACAGTTGCGATCATGAGTGTGTGAGCGTGCTCAATGGCTATCGCTGTCGCTGTAACGAGGGATACAGGCTGCTGGAGGACAGCAAGACCTGCCAGGGTAAGCAGAGCGAACATGGAAGAAAAATCATAACCGGTTAATAACACAGCCACGATGTCCACTGCTGTTATGACGGAGGTGAGGCTCTGATTTCTTTACACTGAAACCGGCCTGACCCAACCGCTAATGCATGATTCAGAACATTAACGTTTCCCGAATGTATCTCTGGATTTGGTTACTAGATAATCATGACATTATGTAGAGCGCTGGAAGAAATCCACAATACTAAATTATCATTTTTGAGGTCACCACAAGATGATGAAAAACACTTTAATGATCCCTTAAAAAAAATTGAGTCGAGACCTGAGAGATGGTGCAAGAATAAAGCAGCACGACTAATATGCAGTAGCTTTTTTTCAGTCCCCACTCAAACTTTATAGAATTACTCAAGATATGGGAATAATTCAAGGAGTGTTTCAGTGTGGAAAAATAAGCACAGGTACAGCAGAGAGCATGCAAAGGACAAGAATGCCAATTTTTGGTGTTCTTGGGACACTTCTGCAGCAGCAATGTGGCAGAAAGCAGAAACATTCGATTCCTAGCATGAGCAGCGGGGTAGCATGTGATTGTTAAAGAAACCCTCTTCTGCTTATTTCCACCTCCATAACTTTATCTTTGAGGCTTTGCATGGTTCAAAATAACTCTTCTTATACTGAACCTCCGTGCAGGTCTTCATATTCTGTCTGAAACAAGCTGCGTTCGCTCCAGAGCTTTGTGTTAGGTATATCCCCTCTGTGACATCATAGATCCAAAAGTAGAAAAAAAGCTGTCTGAAGTGTGACGTGTTCAGAGCTGTCTGACGCCTGAAACGAGTGCTTGCTTCACAGCGACATGTTCGTCAGGAAGCATGTTGTGTGTCTTTAAGGTTACTGATGCGTCACCTTTGTGAACAAAGTTACAAACAACATAAAAATTAATAAACTGCTTTGAAGTTATTCTGACTTAAAGGATGAAACGGCAAAGAGAAAATGCCATTTAAAGTTTTAAAGAAGAAATAGAGCTTGAAGGATCTCCTCAGGAAGTTGTTACAAAACACTGACAAAGTCCCGATCGTCCTGCAGAATGAATCCATCATTGAGGTGCTGTCAGCTCCTGCTTTTGATGCATTTCCATGCTCTTTAACATAAAAATAAATCTGGTGGACCTTGGGCCCAACTTTGGAAGGACTGACATCAGAGGTTATGAAAGGAGCTACAACAAGAAAATTACCAAGGAGTCCTCATTTTCTTCCCATTTAAATAACGCCAACTTCTACATCTGTGGCCTGCTTCTTTGAATTTCCTGACATTAGTCGTTCTGACTTTCAGCCCCAAAGTGTTGAGTGCTGGTGTCAGCCTTTTGGCTTTGGGACCAGTTCTTTGGTAAAAAAAAAAAAAAAAAGAAGGCAGGAAGCGTTTACTGAGGACCTCGCGTAAGGTGTCAGACTGATGCAGAGACAATAACATCAACAGCTGCAGCAGAGCACCTCTTCATCAGGAACCTTTAAAATTAAGACCATTTGTGGGTGCAAAGACTTCCTGTTCTCCTGAAGCCGTACACATCTCCACAGCATGAATAAGACACAGTGTGACTGTAGTTCACAGCAGAAAGGAGACATTTTTAAGTAATTCTCAGTCAGCTTTGAATACACAGTTTATAAGATAAGTGTGACTCACAGTCAATTAAAAATTAGATTCAAAGATTCAAACGTCATTTAAAGGAGTCCAGATGAATAAAAGGGGATTGCGTGCTTATATTTGAATAAATCCTGTAATCTCAGAGTTTGGGGTTATTGCATGACGTCTACCGTTTCCAGAAATTAATATCTGGCATTTAGTCCATCGATCTGAGCCCTTACTGGAAACCTCTGAGAACAAAATCCAAAGCAGATGTCAGAAGTATATTTGTTTGGCTCAGACGCTGATAAATGTTAAGAAAAAATCTTAATCACAATTACACACTTTCACTCAATGTGTTGTTCAGCCATTGACCTGTGCGCTGAGGGGAAGCACGACTGTGAACAAGTCTGCATCAGCGCGCCGGGCGTCTACACCTGCGACTGCAACAAAGGATACACGCTCAATGAGGACGAGAAGACCTGCACACGTTAGTCAAGCCCTCGTGCAAATACACACAGGTGTACACGCACCTGCAGAAACACACCTACAGTCAGAGAAAAGGCTGCTCTTTCTCCTGTTCGTTCTATGAGTTAATATGAAATGCTTGTTGTTTCCAGCTCCTTTAAAGTAAGGACTGAAAACTGAGTCCATCTGGGTCTCTGTTTGGAAACATCACTTTTATTTAACACATGCAGAGTAAAACTAGACACTTAGAGTCACATTCACTCACTATAACGTTATAAATTGGGAATAACGTGTGTGTGTGTGTGTGTGTGTGTGTGTGTGTGTGTGTGTGTGTGCGTGTGTGTGCGTGCGTGCGTGTGTGTGTGTGTGTGTGTGTTACTCAGCCATTGACCTGTGTGCTGAGGGAAAGCACGACTGTGAGCAGATCTGTGTCAGCGCTCCGGGCGTTTTCACCTGTGACTGTAACAAAGGATTCAAACTCAACAAGGACAAGAAGACCTGCACAAGTCAGTGAATCTCACATGAAAACCCTGCTTGTGTTTATTACATAGTGCACCCGATAAAAATGTTTGTTTTACTGTTTGCTTCCAAACAGTAAAAAAAAAAAAAGGGGGGGGGGGGGTCACTAAAAGATGTCACTGAGCTGCTGATTCGCTCTGCTAGGCCAACCAAAGGTGATGAGTTCAGCTCTCCATTGATGGATGGATATAAATTCTAGATACATTTCTTATGGAACTACTTATTATCCAAGAAAAGTTATTTCGCACACTTTAATGAGGACTGGCATGTTCATTTAGTTTGTAATATCATCCTCTACATTAAACAAACAGGCAGGAACGGGCTGATGGAGCTCTGCTGCTTAATGGCCGTGGTGTCGATTCCCAGGTTGACACCATGTGTGAAGGCTGCTCGATTAATCACATTTTAATTCAGTTTTCAGTGATTATGAAAACAAAACAGTTTCTTATAGGTCAGCTTTAGTTTGTTTTATAAATCTTGTGCATTTGTTCCTTTTACATACTCGAGTACATACTGTTTACTTACTCGAGCCTTTCGATGAACAGCATCAATTCTTCAAAAGGTTTGTGTAGGTGAACATATGGAAGGATTAATGAGGAGGTGGTTTTCACCATAATCTAGCAGCAAAGATAAGTGTTGACCTCCCTGAGGTCAAGTCTTCCACATCTGTTCACTAAGCCTTTAGTTGTTGTGCATTACTTGCGGGTGAACAGTTTTTTGCATGTGTCTCTCTCTGCTATGGTGTAATATGTGCTTTCTGTCTGTTTGTTGTCAGACATGAACATGTGTAACACAGTGGAGCACGGCTGTGAGTACCAGTGTGTGAGCACTCCAGGCTCTTATCACTGCATCTGCCCCGAGGGACAGCTGCTACAGGACGACGGCAAGAGCTGCGGCAGTAAGTCATCATCTGTGCAAATGTAAAATCCTCTGACCTGTTTCAGCAGCCCTGAGTTAGTTTAAGAAACTCAGCACTCTGTGCAGAGAGAGCTGCTTCAGGATTAAGATGCTAGCTCCTGTGTGAACCAGCAGAAATGCTGCAGGTGTGGGGAAAAAGACTCAAAAAACTTCAGAAAAAATGCTGTCTTTTTATTAAATCAGTCTACGACAACAAAGCTCAAAGATAAATTATTAACCTGCACTGCTGAGCTTCACTATATTTTAAGCCAAAGCATAAGAAATGTATTAAAGAGGAGGATAAAGATTCAGGGCATTTCAGTGGCAGCTGGACGTTGATCAGGTGACTCTCAGTGAAAGGAAAAAACATTCAGGCCCCGAGCAGAGGTTACGTCTCAGGAAAGGAAATAAAGATGTACAATGATCTCAAACTGATGTTAAAAACAGCTCAGTTATGTCTGGATGAAACGAGCTGGACAAAGATGTTGGGATTGTTTTATTCCTCCTGGGAGGGCGAGCGAATACCAGCGTACCTGCCAGTAAGCTTCACATCACATTCTGAGGCAGAGAGACAGCAGCTGTAACTGCAGCAAAAGCTGGTTCTACAAAGTATTGACTCAGGGGGCTGAATAATTGCGCACACACCACTTTGCAGTTATTTATTTGTAAAAAATGTTTGGAATCATGTATGATTTTGGTTCCACTTCTCACGTGTACACCACTTTGTGTTGGTCTTTCACCTGGAATTCAAATAACATTGATTCATGTTTGTGGCTGTAATGTGACAAAATGTGGAAAAGTTCAAGGGGGCCGAATACTTTTGCAAGCCACTGTATCATCGCTTCAAGAGCTACGCTCCAAACCTGCTTTCCAACTGCTGCAGACATCTGAGAGCAATCCTTAGTCACTATGACGACAACAACAATAATATTATTAAAAATATTAATAATAACTCAGTAAAACTGAGCTTCCTTACCCTGTTTTGTTTTGTTCATTTTATTTCAATGACGTAAACAGTACAAAAGTTCACCTTGGAAAAAGAAAAGAAAAAATAAAATAATACCCAAAATAAAGCAAAAATGCTCTTCAGCATCGCTCCAGCTTTTCTGAGCTTTTCTGGAAGAAGCTCACTCTTATTTAATCAGTTTGTATTTATCCAACTTCCTTACTGACATAAACTGTGATGACAACAACATACGTCTCCCTAATAGCAGAATATATACACGATGTAAAATCCAATGATTATACATTCAGCTCCATAACTTTACCTCCACACAAACTGAGTAACTCCACTTTTGGAAAGTTACTAGTAAACTCTGCAGCTCTGCCCACTGCACTGACTCATGTCACATGTTTTTACTGTGGTATTTGTGTTGCAGTGTTTGTTTAGTATTTCATGTCTTGATTTCTTTAATCATATTTTTCACAGTGAAATAAATTAAATAATTAAACCTCCCGTCCTTCGTTTGTCTCGTTCTTCTTCAGCCTGCAAGTCTGCAAACATCGACCTGGTGCTTCTGATCGACGGCTCAAAGAGTGTCCGCCCTCAAAACTTTGAGCTTGTCAAAAAGTTTGTTAACCAGGTTGGAAGTATTTTCTAACACACTGAGTATTTTACTGCCAAATTGCAGTATTATTTCATATGTCCATACCTGCACATGCAGGACGGTCACAGAATAAAACAATGCCATCAAATATGAATTACTGCAGGAGGAAGAAATCTTGTTTTGGCTCCAGAAATAATAAACAACTAAAACAACATGTCCTGGACATTCAGCAAAAAGATATTTTACATATTAAATCTTAGCTAGTGATACTTCTTGACATCTTTGTCTGATATCTTAAAAACTATCAAATAATGTTAAAATAATAAAATGCTGAATATTCATCACCTCACCTGGGTCCCTGCAGGTCGTCGACTCTCTGGACGTGTCTCCTCACGGTACCAGAGTCGGTCTGGTTCAGTACTCGAGCCGGGTCAGGACCGAGTTTCCCCTCAACATGTACCACACAGCTGATGAGATCAAAGCTGCAGTCATGAAGGTAGTGCTTCTGTTTGTTTGTTTGTTGTAGCCGTGACAGACAGTTTGAAACATCAAGCAGTGGAAGTAACTTAAACCTGCATTCTTGCTAATGGCCAGCAGGGGGCAGTTCTTGCTTCTTCCTAAAGAAGTCCAGCTGTAAAGTGAACGAGAGAAGTTATCCCGCTGATCTGTGACACACAGGTGGCGCCAGTATTGTGAGATTGTAATACTTGTGTGACGCTTAAAGTCAACATAAAGATTCATGTATTTTACTATACATACAGACCCTCAGCAGTGAACTGCAGTTAATGAAATCCTGAATAAAAGATGAAACCTGCACCATGTTTGGGCCCTGCTCAGCTACACGACTCGAAATGTTGTTACTGTCCATGTTCAGGTTGAATACATGGAGAAAGGTACGATGACCGGCCTGGCCCTGAAGCACATGCTGGAAAACAGCTTCTCTGAGGCAGAAGGCGCTCGTCCTCTGAGCCGCAGCATTCCACGAATCGGGCTGGTTTTCACAGACGGACGCTCCCAGGATGACATCACCGAGTACGCCAAGAAGGCCAAAGAAGCTGGTAAGACCCAGGATGATAATAACAGCATCTGTAGCTCAGTGTCTGAATCAAGCAGTGCAGCAGTTATCATGTGACCCTACACCTGTGCATGTACGCAGGCATCACCATGTACGCGGTGGGTGTTGGAAAAGCGGTGGAAGATGAGCTCCGTGAGATCGCGTCTGAGCCTGTGGAGAAGCATTTCTATTACACCACTGACTTCACCGCCATCAGCACCATTGCTGAAAACCTCAAACTCAATGTCTGCCCAGGTAACATGCTCTGCTAGACCTGACCGCAGCGTGTAAAACAGCAAGTAAACAGACAAGTTAATCTGACAGCATATTATTGGTTCATATTCTGAGGCTTGCTTTCTGCCGCAGGAAGTGAAAAAGCTCTATCACCTAAAAAACTACCAATGTGAACCTCATGAGACTTATTAAAGAGATGAAGAATGTGCAAACAATGCATTAAATCCTGGCCTTGGGAGAGTGCTGTGTTTTTAATCCTCTTTAAGTTTTTAATATTTTTTTAATACTTAAATTGGTTTTAAACAGGAAAAACATCCTGAAAGTAAGAGAGGATCCTCCCCAAGAGGATAATTATATAAAAATCGGTGCTCTATTTTTTTACTACTATGGTTTAAAAATCTTCTCTACTGAATCCTTCGGTTCATGCAGCTTATATAATGGTGAAGGTCATTGGTTGATTGCACAAATAAAGCACATTACAACCTTTTATACACTTAGAGAAGAGTTTTGTACCATAAACAGCTGAAATTGATAACATTCATCATTTTAATAACAAAAGATTTTGGTCAAAGCTTCAGCAGGACTTTCATGTGATGGTTTGTGTGGTTTTTACTGGTAATTCATTGTAACAATGTCTTTTCTTTGTCGCCCTCTACTGACAGAATTACAACATGACAATTGCAAAAAAAGAGCACTAAAAACAAAGCAGTTACAAAACATTTTTCCTGAGTGTAATAATACTGTACCGAACAATAAATCCTCAGGTTAAAAAATTAATAATAGTACTTTATTGGTTTAGCCTGTTTGGAGCTCTAAGTAGACATTAAAGCTAAACAGGTAAAAATTAAACTACAGCACTTCATCGCATCTTATGAGCAATGTCTGCACCTTCAAGATAACTGAAATTAACACAATGTATATACAGATAAAGAATATTATATATATTCATATATTTTTCCTTCTGCAGAGGAGAGTCAGGGCGAGATTGAGGTGAAGGACCCCTGTGCATGTGAAAGTCTGGTGGAGTTCCAGCAGGCCACTATGAACAGCCTGGAGCAGGTCACACAGAAACATATCCTTTAAAACAAAAACACATAATATCAGGTAATTCTGTACCTTCAGGTAAAGACTCCAGTGTCTTTGCATATTAAATCTCTTGTTATTGCTCTGGGTGTTTTTTATTAACATGATATCTGTTGTTTGTTTCCCTGTGACTTCGGCTTAGAAGCTGAAAGTTTTTGGGGTGCTCAGCATGCAGGTGACCCCACCCCCCTCTGCGCTCTCTGTACCAGATTTTTCTTCTTCTGCTACATACAGAATACAGTGAGTGTGTATGTGTGCATGTTAAGTACTTATGATTCCTTAATGACGTGTCCACTGGCTGGGATGACCGCGCGCCTGGAACAGCTGGAGAACCAGCTTTTCTCCAGGAAGTGATCTGTTGACTTCTGAGCGAGCACAATGGGACGAAGAGGAAGAAGAACAAACTAAAGCTTGATTTATAGCACTGCGGTAAATTTACCCCATAGCTACAGCGTAGCCTCGCGTCCTAGCACAAAGCCTGAGAACAGGCTAACGTGTTTGGTCTGCTTGGTAGTAAACTGCTGTGTAATGGCAGTATTTTGATTCAGAAGAATAAAGTATCCCTGGAACTAAATTGAATAGGTTGTAATAATATTGAACTTGCTTAAAATGCAGTAGCTATATTCAGCCAAAGTAAGCACGCTGGTTTTTAGATTTGCTGTGACAAATTCAGGTTCAGACTCTAATCAGTTCTGAAATCTCCCGTCCTGCGTTTCTGTGGAAAGAGCTGTTCAACATTTATTAGCTTCAAGACCAACGAAAGATCTCTGGGGAGATTGAACACAGGACGATAAATCAAGCTTTGAGAAGAGTTCGGCACATTCCGACAAACCAAATCCTCCAAATCAGCCTCAACGGAAGAAAGTGTCTCCACTCTACGACATTTTTCCAAGTAAAGGTGCTCTTATACAACAAACGGTCATAAAACACATGGATTTGATATTTCAGGTTCCCCATGACATCTGTTACCTCTGCCATTTTCTTTTTGGGGATATTTGTGTTTAACACAGTTTGCATAAAAAATGAACATCTGAAAAGTGAAGCTAATAGAGAATTGCCTTAAATCTACGCCTCACTTGATCTATGACCTCAGTTAACCCTCACATGATGAGTTCATGGTCAAAAAAACGAGTTTACTGTATGTAGTAAATATCAGCACGAACATGATTCAGTAAAAATCTGAATTTTCTCACACACAGTGTTCATTCGTCGCCACCCATCATTCGCCTGTTCTTTATTTATAATTTGATCTCTTTTGTATGGTTTGTTAAATATGACGTGTTTATTACAGTTTGTTTTATTTTAATCAGCAGCAGAATGACAAAAAGTAATGAAGTGCTATTACCACTCTGAATATTAAAGTCCTTTGGGTCATTTTCAGTAAAGTCATTACGTGCTTGCATGTAGACGGTAGATTTTTATCTTAGGCCTAAATGGTTAAAAGTGGTGAAGAGAAAACTGAGGTGTAGTTTTTAAAAAAGGGAATTTTAGATGTTTAAATATCACTATTCACCGAGGCTGTGGTCGAGTAAAGTAAATGTGAGCGCAGTGCAGGAATCAGTGCACAGAAATGTACTATGAATGAAGAAAGGTCACCCTAAAGGAATATTAAAAAAACTGAATTACAGTCATAAAGTCACTCTGTAAATGAACCACCTGAAGATTGTGTTGAATGTCTGTGTCTTATAATATATAAACGACTGCCACAAATTTATACCCCTTTGTATTTGAATCCCTGTATTTTTTGTATATTTTATAACAGGTTTACATTTTTTGTATTTTTCTAAGGAGTCTCTGTATTACAGCACAGACGACAATAAAGGAGTGAACTTTCATTTATTTGATGGTGTCAGTGAACTCCTGCAAAAGTTTTTATGCTCTCATTTCTTATGTACATCTGTGCTCTCTAGATACTCTCATGTTGCAAAGCCCAGCTGGTGGATCTAACCACTGCAATTAAACTACACCTCTAAAGTGTGTTTGAGGTGTTGGTGCTTACTGGAGCATTTCCGAGGCAGTTATCAGACAAATAGTATGCTTTACTGTGTTGTTGGTTCTTTACCAGAAAACAAGAAGGGAAGAAATCTGTGCTGCAGTTTAAGTGACTGAAAAGACGTCTAAATATGTGAGGAGCAGCTGTTCATTTGGATTGCAGTCATCCCCACAGATGGTTTTTATTTTGTTAAATTTCCCACCACTTGTTCCTCTCTAAGGTTTATGTAAGTGAGTAAAAGATAAATGCCCCAGGCATGTGCAGTGAGCAAAGCAAATCTGGGATGATACAGATTGGGATGGCCCAGGCATTTATCTTTTACCCCTTGCAGCTGGATAGGGTAGTGGTGAGACTGCACGGCTTTGGAGCCGGAGTTGCAAGTTTGATTCCCACCCAGTATCCAGTAGGGGTCCTGGCTAGACCCCTCATGCTAACCAAAAAGCCCTGGAATGGCATGGCTTTGTCTGCAGCCTGTCCTCAGCACAGACACGGATCATTTCACTACACATTGTACTGTATTGTATGATGTTGTATGTGACAAATAATAAAGCTTGTGTACACTGAAGCAGCAAACTGGAAACAACATTGACGGATCTTTAGGCCTAAGCCTTTAATACACTGTTCAAAAGAGTTACAGGAAGCCTTTGATAACACATCAGGTGGGAAAAACGATCATACTGGATATCCACACTGATATGGACTAATCAAGTTTACCTAAATTTCATTGCAACAAGTTAAAATGGGACTCAGTAGTTTGTACGGAGCCCCACGTGTTTGTAGACCAGAGCATGCACTGAATGAGAAGCACACAAACCTCTGGTGATGGTACACTGATGTGTCATCCTGAAGGAGGTGGACTAACTAAGCAACCTCTGCGGGGTCCAGGCATCGCCTCATGCCATCAGCACTGACCCTGACCCTACTGAAGAAACAGTCAGAAGACCTGCTCAACCTCCATCATCAGGCACTTCCACCGCAGGTCCCGGTCACCTGCACCTCCAGCAAGCTCAGCAATCATCTACCCAGTAACTTCCATTAACCTTCCTGTCGTGTTTGGGTCAAAATTAAAAAAGTCATAAATATTGTGTTTTACATCTGACTGCCTCGAGGCCTGAGGTCATCCTCCACACTGTGCACTTGAACATATGAAAGTGATGAGCACCTCCTTCGTTGAATTTTGAGTGTTTTAATAAACTTTGTTACATCTGTGCTGGTCGAAAGTGACCACCATAGAAAATGAATGGGAATGGGAAACTGAATTTGGTGATGAAAAAATGTTTCTTATGTTAATTTAAGAGTTGTTAAAACTGACCGGGAACACTAAAGTAAGGGGGGCGGGGGGTGAACACAACCGGAGGGTTAAGGAGCTGTTAGGATAACTGGGCTTTTCTTGAAAAGCAAATCATATACAGAAAATTTGATACTTTCTGAGAGTGAAAATGTCATCCTTATGCCCTCCTGTCTCCAAGAATAAAGTTTTCATGTTTGTGGTAGCCTCATGGAAACTCTGGCAAAAGTTGTTTTTGTTTTTTTTTTTAAGTTGCACAAAGGGAGTGAGACACAGAGGAACAAAGCCAAGTCCTCATGGGCGTCCATCAGCTGTTTAAAGAGCAGCTCCACAGGGATCAGTAATTGCTTTCAGTCACAGAGCATCATTATTGACAGTGACCTTCAGCACATTATCTCTATAGACTGGCATGAAAAACATGTTTGTTTTAAACAAAATCTGTCCCAACTATCAACAAGTAAAGTTGTGAAATGATAAAACTTGGAAAATAACAGTAACAGTTACTGCTGCAACTTCTTCTTTTTCTTTATTTGGACACTAGTCTAAAACCTGGAGATATATAAAGTGTTTCTAACAATAATTCTATTAATAAGTATCAGTGATCGTTTCTAATTTGTTCAGCTGAGTTACAGAATATGGAAATGTGGATTTTTTGGAGGAAAGCAGAGAAATGAAAATGCTCTTAATGTTAGGGTTAGACATTTGTCCTTGAATGTGATGATGATGATGATGATGATGATGATGATGATGCCTGAAGTTAAAAAAAAGTTTCAAAGTCCTCTAAACTTTGTAGCAGCTGATTTCACAATAAAAGCTCATTAAACATATGAGCAATGAAGCTTTTCCCTCAGTGGGTTGTGAGTTGTCCACAGAGCCCGTCTGCAGAGATTTATTTATTTATCTTTTTGCTTTCAAACAATCTCATGTTTTCCATTGGGTATGCTCTACTTGTTTATAATTAACCAGGACAGCCATTTAAAGTAAATCATATCATTGTCTCAAATATCACAATGGTACAGCGTACTCTAGTTCCAACGTAATTGCAGAGTTGTTTAATGGCAATGATGAAAAACTCCCTCATAAGACATACCTAATAAATCCCTTTGATGCTGTGTATGTGAACTGCATGCTGGGTGCCGCATAACAAGCTTTCCCAGTGTGTGTGTGACCTTTAACGTCACGGCCTAATGAGGGCTGATGAGACTGTTGCTCATTCTGGAGCTTGCAGTGTGACTTGCTTCCTGAATACACAGAGGATCACTGAAAATGTCAAGATGTCCCAAAAGTCATCGCTGTGGAGCGCAGAACAAAGTCATACTTACAGGAAGTTTACTCAAGCAATATTGTAAGAAGTAGGGTTGGGTGTTTCAGAGAAGTCAGAATGGCTGTTTCTGAACTGGAAAACTGAGGAAAAAGAAAAGATGTCGCTGAATGAAATGTGCCATTCAAGGTTAAAGAAATGCCGCCGGAGCCTGAAGACAAACAAGAAAACGCAGAATTTTGAAGATTAAAGTCAAAAATTCGCGAAAATGAATATTTTGTAAGAATTGATTTGACAGATAAACTGGAAATGCAAAAAGTAGAAGATGGTGGCTTGAACGTAGCTTACTGTTTTTGTTGTTTTTTGTAACAGGCCTTTGAGAACTTAGAAATTTATTTATTGTCATTGTACAGTTGCCTTCACAGCACAAAGGTGCAAGAAAGTTCCCTTTCAGTTGATTCACTCGGTACAACTCAGTGGTATGGGATATCACACCCTTGCATGTCCTGGCTGAAGAAATCTTTATTCACGGCTTTAAGACAGATGACACACGGCTCCGTCTGCACATATAACCGCTGTCATCGCAGTCATCGCTCAGTTCTTACGCTCTTCACCTTGCTGAGAACACCTCTGCTGTGTTGGGCTAGCCGTCTGCTGCTAGTTAGCTCCGGGGTCTGCCGACTTGAATTTAGCTTAACTGCCCCTGTTGGTGTTAGCCTCCACCACGCAGTTGGTGTGTAGGTTGCCCGCGGATCGCAAATTTCGAGTTTTCCTGTGCAGCTTTTTGCTTTGCGTTTTGGAATGGACTCCAAACCAAAGCGAGCAAAGCAGAAATCTTCTGTTCGCCCCTGTCCTCAGGGATGCGGTTTCTCTTTGCACGACAGCGACCAGCCCGATGCCTGCCTTGTCTGCCTGGTTATTGTCCACGCTAGGTGAGCGTTGACGGAGCCTGAAGCCTGTGCGTTTTGTTGCCAGCAGGCCCTGAAAAGACGGGTGGAAAAAGTGCTGGGACGCTCGGCTGTCACACGGCATGACCCTCTCCTTTCCAGGACCGAGGATTATCCTGTCGCTGTCCCCGCAATTAGCTGGGCTGACCACATGGAATATGTTGATGGGTTAGCCAATGACCGGCTGGAACCATGCAGGAGCGCTGGCGGAGTTCAGGCTGGGTTGAAGCCTGACATGCTGGACATCGGCCTGGACATCCATGGTTGCTCCATGAGCAGGAGAGCTCATTGTCGACCCAATGGGCCGCCAATGCTGCGCCGGTCTGCCACACTGACACCCTCTCTTTTTCCCCTTTTTTGTTTCGCCATGCTGCTTAAAAACTGCAGGTGGACTGGTCCTCTTCTCCACCAGCTCAGAAGCTGTTTTTTTTCTTCCCACAGGAGCCCGCAACAGCCAAAAACCACCTTCACATGTTTCCAGACTTTGTGTGCGAGCTAACAGCATCATGGGACAAACCTCTGTCAACCCCCGTCACTGTGCCCAGCTATGTACAGCACATGGATTTGGACGGCGCAGACAAGGCTAGCTTAGCTAACCAACCCCCTATGGAGCCGTCTCTGGCTGCTTATCTGGCCCCGTCCCATGACCATGGTGTCTGCGGCCGTGCAACTCTGCCGTCCAATCACTGCAGATTCTCTGCTTCGCACCTGGAGAAGATTTGTCGGGCTCAGGCCAGCACAGCTCTGCCATGACCTCCGTCACCACACTCCAGATGTACCAGCCAATGTGCCTGGTGGAGCTTGGATCTCTGGTTCGTGTTGACAGTCCGCTGGCACCTCTTCTTAACGAGGTCAGAGTCGCCATGAATTACATCCTCTGTGCGTCACAAATGCTCAGGCAGAATGAGCTGGGTCAGGCAGGTGATGCATTCCCCTGCAAACACACTGGCTTCAACAGTTGTCGTCCAGAGGCACCTGCGGCTGACCCTCTCTGACGTCCCAGATAGGGACATGACTGTAAATCTGGACAAACCAGTGTCTGTGGCTGGGTTATTCCGACATTCACTTGAAGCCATTCAGACTAGATTTCATCTGAGGAAGAAGCAGACAGAAGCTCTGCGCGATTTCATCCCCAGACATCAGACGAAGACCAAGCCTGCAGCTAGCTCTCACAGGCCTGCCACTCCTCTGTCGACTGGCAAGAGACCGGCGCCCACTGCTGCAGTGGGTGTGCCGCCAGCGCAAGCACAACCTTCGGTCCGAGCTCCACGTCAGTTGGCCTGGAGCAAAGGCCCACCATCGGGCCTCTGGCGGGACCTGACGCCCACGAGGAAGAAGCCTCA